CATAATTTCTTAAGGGATTTAAAAATTGTGATTTGTATAAAATGATTGCTTACTGTGAATTTAAGGGCATTTATATTTGGAAATCATTCATGTTTATATTCCTGGTATGATTTGGTGGGAGTGTAACGAACCCTGATGTGGTGTGTTTATTGTTTGTGGGTTTTGAATTATTTCATTATTTGTATTGTATGTTTGTGTATATGATTTGATTCGTTAAATGTAATAGGTTATGGTTAAGGACTTTAATTTTGACATATATATGACGTGCATACCTTATTGGGTTAGACGCTGAGAAAGCATGTTAAGCAAGGAACGCTAAACAAGGCACGGGTACACAGTCGATTCATGGACTTTATGGTTCATAAGTTTAGCTCCTGGTTTAAGGGAGAACAAGGTAACAATTATCTTTGTTTTATGTATGTGATTTTGCTATTAGATTAATGCTTATTTTGTTGGTTTGTTTGTTTGATTTGTTTCTCTTGTGCTTCAACTTTCAATATTTATTTTATTTTTTTAATTTTTTCTAGCTCTTACGGTGGTTCATTGTACGTTGTTGTGTGACGGCTCTACGGAATGTGAACAATAAACAAACTGTGAATCATCAGTGAAAGAGTTGGCCGTTTATTAACCAGGACGCTACAGTAAGAGCTTGATTCATCGATCCGGTGATCCTTGTCGATGTGACGAGCTGCTTCAGGGGATGGTTCGCTTGGTAAAGAAGGTACTTCCTTTTGACTTTGATGATGTCGACCGCGTTGGGAGCAGTGCGCTCGTCATGGTTTGAAGATCGATCAAGTTTCGATTAAAGGACTCAGCTCAACGTGCGGCAAGCAAACGGATCAGATGGACTGGATAAGAAAGGGGAAAGTGCCAGTTTGTTTGAATGGACCGCAGTGAGTACGATGAATTGAACTGTGTTAATCGGATGAATTCTGAAAGGACGAACTTACTTTGTTGCCTTTACGTTAGTATTTATACCTGTAATGAACACTGTGGCGTATGTTCTCTTTACTAATGAACTGAATATTAATCAATTTCACATTTAAGAGTTGACATTTTAATGAGTAAGAAAAGAGGTGTTGAATTTACATCCCGTTCTTGATTATCAAATTGACTGCCTATTAGTTGTGAATATTGCTGTTATTTTCTTTGAAGTCTAAATGCAAAGAGAAAATGTCGAAGCCAGATGCAGGTGCAAACGATTTGAATAAGCAAAGTGATGATTGTGTTGAAACTCAGAGTGAAAGTATACGTCGCTCAAAACGCGCTCCTGTTCTTACCGAAAAAATGCAAGCATACCAACAAGAGGAGTCACAAAAAAAAGAGAAAAGGATTACTCATTTGTATGATAAGT